TCTTTCTTCCCCCCCTCTTCCTTCCTTCCTTCCTTCCTTCCTTCCTTCCTTCCTTCCTTCCTTCCTCTCTCTCTCTCTCTCTCTCTCTCTCTCTCTCTCTCTCTCTTTCTTTCTTTCTTTCTTTCTCTCTTTCTTGTGTGCTTATAGTTTGAAAAGCACACTAACAATGTTACCTTTGGGTCCACACTAGTTCAGCAAGTCAGTCTGCTGTGCTTACAACAGCTGCTGCTTCCTTCCAGAGGACTGGGGATAGGTTAGAAGTCTTGTTGCTATGATACAGCACAGCAGTTAGGGGTCAATCTCTACATGAGTGTCACCCTCAAAAGTACACATCTATTGAGGAGGAGCTGGGCTCTGCGTTTAAGATAGTTTGGAAGTTATTTCTTTTGGTGTGTGAAGCACATGGCTGCTAGGAATCACTGTACTCTCAGCTACACAGCGTTCTCTAGTTGTGGCCTTCAGTATTTACTAGCTAGCACATCTTAAATTACAAAGCTGACCATTTGAAAGGCACATTAATTAAGCAAGTGAAGATAGTTTGTACACTTTTATCAGAGTATTCTGTAAATGACCATGCTGTCACTTGGACTGGTATAAACAGGGCTGAGGTTGTGCATTCCCCACATCTGAGGGAATGCACTAACAATGGTTACCTTTGGGCTCACACTGATTCAGGAGAAATTGGTCCTTCTTGGCCATTAGAACTATATTTTTACAAGAAATTCTCAAGCTGTTAAAAATGTCAAAAAGCCTTATAATTATATAAACTATATATTACAATAAAGTTTTAATCAAAGGAATAAACACACACACACACACATACACTCACACACACACATACACACTCACCAGGGACCATAGGATGATGCCTCAGTATAAATGCACTTGCCTTGCAAGTACCTGAGAGTTTAAAGGTACCCGTTTAAAGGTGACACAGGATACCCTTGTGTTCTAAGTATTGAGAGTCACTGGCCTGCCAGTCTAGACTAACTGTTGAGTTCTAGGTGAGTGAGAAACCCTGGTTCGACAGGAGGTAGACAGCATAGCTGAGGATGATGTCAGAGGCTACAATCTCATCTTCACACACATGTACACTACCCACCGCCACTCTCCCCACCTCAACCCTCTGCACACACACTGAAAGAGAAAATGAGAACCAGGTATAAGGAAGATAATTCATTTGCAGCAGATTATTTTCTTTCACTGTTATTTCTGTTGGAATGAGCACAGGGTGATGAGTAAACACAGAATGCAGGGTCTAAAGGAACTCAAATACAGCCAGTTACAATCAATCGCCATGACCACACAGTGCAGCCTAACCATACACACTAGCACACTGGGTTGTCCTATGTGCTAGCAGCCTGTTGTCCTGCAGAGCAGGGGTCCTTCACAAAGGTTACCTGGGCAGGTGGATGACAGGCAGGTGGCGAAAGGAGACACCTCTCAGAAGTGCCCCAGTACTTTGTGTATAGACTTGAAGAAGACTAGAACACAAAGCTGTGTTGTAGCTTTTAGCACTTCTTCCAAGCCCAGAGATGCCAAAAGGTCAAGATTCAGAAATCAGCATCTTTCCAAGTGGATATGTGTACTAACTTTGCTACTGATGGTTAATTATTTGATAAAAGCTGACATGAGGGACTGCCTTTGTTTATAAAAAAGAGAATTTAATTATAAAAAAATTTCCTGCAATCAAAGACTTGGCTGGAGTTAGAGTCATGTGACTTCCCATAATGTCTGAGAGACAAGTGTCTCAGGAAGCTACAAGAGGCTGACAGAGCTCACAGCAGAAATGCCACTGACCAGAATCTCATAGCCAGCATATTCAAAGTGGTTTCTGGTTTAGAGAAGGTTTAAAGAGATGGACAGAAAGGAATGTCAGAAACTAAAATAACTGAAATCATCATTCTTCATTACTGTGAGTGCACATGGTGTGTGTGTGTGTGTGCGTGTAACGCGGCACATGTGGAGGTGACAGGGCCACTCTATGGAGTTGATACTCTTCATTCATATTTACATGGACTTGAACTCAGCTCAGGCCTTTACCCACTGAGCCATCTCAAACCAAAAGTGGCATTTTGATCATACAAGGGAGAATGACATTGTTTTTAGGTCCTTGGGAAAGTGATTATAAGATTATCAGAAATACTGAGTGTCATTATTACCAGTTCTGTGGAGCTTCGCGCACACTGCATGACAGCAATCAAATGTCTGGACAAGCCTCAAGCAGTTTCACTGAGGTTTTGAAGCAGCAATGTGACCCTCTCTTTCTATGGCAGATTTCCAACATAATAGATCAGTCGTCAGACCTACTTTGAGAACAAACTGACCTCCTGTGTTGGATGCTTCCTATGACTGAACAATAGGAAAGACTCTGGTTTATAAAGTGATTATACCTGGTCTCACTATGTAGCCCATGCTGCCCTCAAACTCACCACACTCTTGCGTGTCTCCCACAGGCTGACATTACAGACATGGTCCACCATACCCAATTTGGTTATTCTATTTTTTTCCTCTTTGAAAGAAATACTTCTTACCTGCCCCTAGAGGCGTTGCAGGTGTGGCTGCTGTGTCACATGTGCATCAGAAGGTGGCAGAGAGGACAGAGGCTGTGTCTCTGCTCAGTGTTCTGACCTGTGGACATCTGAATGATTAGTAGTCTAATACTTCCTGAAAAAAGCAAGCCTAAACAAAGCACCAGTCTGGTGCCATGGGGCCTGGACATCATGCAGGCCTGGAGGGGGGTTGTGGCAGACCCTGCCAGAGATGACATCCTCCTGGTGCCATAATGCACAAATGGGGCATAGCAATCCTGAGACCACTCCTGAGATGGCTCTAGTCACTCAGAGAACCTGGGTACTAAGATGAGCAAGTAAGTGGTGGAGAAATGGAAGAGGAAGAGAAACAGAAGGATGTGGGCACAGTGAAGAGAGGCAGAACTGGAGACTCGGGGTAGTGAGGAACAGCCTGACGTGAGTAGCCAGTGATGCCGCCTGGGATCATAGTGGGGTCCTGGTCTGTGATGTCACTGGGGACCATATCTGTGTCCATGGCCCTGCAGCAGCAGCGGTGTGTTACCACCAAAGGCCAAGCAGATATTCAGTTTCTAGTTTGGGCTGTTGCCTGGGGACATGTTGATGTCTGAGGGCTGTGTGGAACTGACCTCATCTCTTGTCTGGGCATTGTAGGAGAGCAGGCCCTGGGGACATGGCAGCAGGAGAGCTGAGCCCACCCCTAGCCAGCTGCAGTACTTGGGAGAGCCAGCCCGGCACATTTGCAGGTTGTGGGTGAGCCAGCTCTGACAATATGAGAAAGGGAAAGGTTGCCCTGCCACTTGACTCTCTTCACCTGTTGTAGCGCTCAGGAGAGCAGGTCTGGTACCTCTATTGGACAGCACAGTAGAGGTGGCCTTAGATACGGACACTGTAAGTGAGCCAGCCCTATGGGCATGAGCACAGGAGAGCTATCCCTGCCTCTTGTCTGCTGTGCAGAGATGCCCCCTCCCCTCCCTTGTCCTTCTCCACCTGTGGCAGGTGGGAGAGCTGGCCCCAGGGTCATGAGAGTGGGGGAACTGGCCCTATCCCTCACTGGCTGCAACACTCAGGAGAGTGGGCCCTGCACAATAGAGCTGGCCCTGATGGTTTGGACACGGATGAGCCAGCCCCGAGGGCCTGAGATCAGGAGAGCTGGCTCTGACTCTTGCTGGCTTTGGCATTGGATGGGCCAGCCAGGCTAGAGCAGGAGAGCTCACCCCTGTGGTGTGCGTGTAGATAGCTGGTGTGCTGAGCAGCTCAGATACCTCTTAGGCTCAGATCGGGGCTTTGAATTGGCCCACCCCAACAGCTACCCCATGGATGAAGTGCTGGAGTTTGTGAAGGGGCTGGTCCTACAGATCCAGAACTATGGGGTCTCCGTGACACAGGGCAACAACAGGATATTCCAGAGGAGGTCCAGTATTGACAGTGTAGCAGAAGCCAGAGGCTTCATACCAGACCAAAGATTCACAGCACTGAAGGTTTGTAAGCAAAGAAGTGTGGACAAAAGGGTACACTGTGGGGCACACTGTGACATACTACAGCTTCCACAAGGAGATGTTTTTTCTCTGTTGAGGGGGAGGTTGCAAGGATAGAGGTTGGGATTGAGAAGAGGGGAAGATGAGTGGGATTGAGGTACATAATGTGAAATTCACAAAGAACCAATACAAAGTTCAAAAGTACTTTTATTTTTGCAATTATAATTACATAATTTCTCTTCCTTTTCCTCCTATACCCTCCATATAACTCCTTCTGCACTTTCAAATTCATGGCTCTTTTCATTGTTACATATACATACAAATACATACATACATAATATATATATATATATATATATATATATATATATATATATATATACATATGTAACCTTAAATGCATAAGCACAGCCTGCTCAGTCTGTATAATGCTACTTGTATACACGTTTTCAGGGCTGACTGCTTTGGACAATCATTTCAGTGTTGTTCCTTGGGGAAGATTATTTCTACAGCTTGGCGTTCCTCAGTTGCCTGTAGTTCTTTGTGTAGTGTTGAGGCCTTATGGGCTTTTCCTAGCAGTTTAGACTTTTTTTTTTTTTTTTTGGTTTGGTTTGGTTTGGTTTGGTTTTTCGAGACAGGGTTTGTCTGTGTAGCCCTGGCTATCCTGGAACTCACTCTGTAGACCAGGCTAGCCCCAAACTCTCGAACTCAGAAATCCGCCTGCCTCTGCCTCCCAAGTGCTGGGATTAAAGGCATGTGCCACCACTGCCCGGCCAGTTTAGACATTCTTAAAAGTGAAAAGATTCAGAACTTGGAAGACAGCTCAGTGTATAAGTAGCTCCACTTGTCAGTGTGAGGATCTGAGACTAATCTCCAGGAGCCATTTTAAACAGATGGGCGTGGTGGTGGTGTGTGCTTGATGACTCTCTGCCTCCTGGCAGTTGTCCTGTTCTCATGCCCCACTCCGTGTGTTTGTGTGTTCATATATAGCTATGTGTATTTAACATTGTTTATTTGTTTGTTTGTTTATTTATACTTAATCTTGTGTCATAGGCTGACCTTGAACTCACATCACAGAAGAGGATGACCGTGTAATTTTCATCTTTCTGCCTTTACCTCCTGAGTGCTGGGGTTAAAGGCATATATATGCCAGCAAACTCTACTGATATGGTGCTGGGGATTGAACCCAGGTCTTTGTGCTTGCTGTGCAGGTGTTCCACCAGCTAAGCGTCATTCCCACTTACCCCACCCCCTTTACCTTGACATCACAGTGTCATAAGGAGATCAGGTTCCCAGTGTGCAGTCCACTGGAGGATGCCCAGCGCCTCTCAGAGTACATGGCAAGTATGGACCCACGACTGGATCCACCCTGTCTGCTACTGCAAGGTGGTCTCCATTACGAACCACCTCCAGTTGGCTCACTGTTAATATTGCAGAATGGTGATCACTTTTGTACATAATCTTCCATCTTTCTGATTTTCCCCCCCTCAGAGGCTATGGCTGGAGCAAATGAAAGACAGAATATTAAAATCTCCAGTTTTGTGTTGCTGAACTACTTTCGCTATCATCCTAACATCATCGGGGTTAGGAGGGAAGGCAGAGATGCACATCCGGTTAGGTGCACCTTAGCAGAACCGAGCAGTTTAGCTAAGCCACTGACTGAATGAAGGTAAAGCCAAAGACTCTGATTGGTTAATTCTCACTCCAGGCTCATTTTCTGTTCCCTCATGCGATTACTTGGTCCTTCATAGGAGGGGTTTCCGTAGACTTTCAAACTATATTTCACATTCAGTGTCGATGTCTCAGCTTCCAGACGTAAATCTGTGAGACACTAAGAAGTGGATCTCAGAGATGTAAGAGAAAATCCAGGTTGACGTCAATTATTGGTGGCCTGAGAAGTTGAACAATCTTAAGGAAGTTTTTGCACTGCTTCTTAACTCTCGAAACGCCACAGAATTACCTCAGTGTCTATAGAAAATAACTCAAAGACCTTGTCACAAATGACACCTATGATTATTATGTAGTAGACGCGGACTGTCTCGAAGGAAACAGGTTTTCTCTATTTTGTTCTGCTGCTGCCATCTAGAGCACAAGGGAAGTACAGCAAGTCATAATGCGTCATTTCCCCCCACCCAACCCCGCACCGTTGCCAGTGAGTTAGTACCTCCCCGATTCTCTCCTGCCCCTTCTCAGTTTATATCCCAGGGTCTTGCCCAGAGGATGGATTGATCCTGTCCAACTTAGCACACGCGGGTGCAGAGTGAGCCTTGTGTCTCTCGGTCCTCTCACGCCTGAGGCTCCCCTGGGAAAGAAGTAGTTGATGAACTTGCTGTGGGATTCACAGTGCCCGGCAGAGTTCCTGTGGAGGTTGCAAGGCATTGGCACCTTTAAGGAGGATTAAAGTGTGCTCTTAATGAATGCCCTTGCAGGACTGGATTGGTTACCTCGGGGGCACAAGTGATCTTGGTACCTCCCCACCCACCCCACCCCATTCCCAGCTCTCTACAATGCTGTGCTGCGCTTCCTGTTCTTTTTCCACTTAACTGAACCACCAGGGGTTCTCATCAGAAGCTGGGTAGACGGCCATGACATCTTCTTGAACTTTTTCCTGTCTCCTAATTTGTGAGCCAAGAGAAACTGCATAAAGTGTACCGTTTCAGAAATTGTTTTAACTAACAGAAAGTGAGCCTGCAGGCTTCCATCTCGTCTGCGTTTAGGAAGAGACTTCTAGATTGAATACATAAAAACAAAGTGGCAATAACATTTGAAGTCACATCTCAATTATTCCGTGTTTTGTGTTGTCTTAAACTTCACCAATGAGGGCACCAAGGGACCACAAAGTTAATACACAAAAAGCTCCTCCTCAGGAATACCCACTGCCCCCTGAAACCTGCTCTAATAGAAAATCCGTCCCATTTTGCAAAAGTGAATTTACTGCTTCCTTCACAAAGCTATTGGCCTTCATCTGCCGATGTTTGTTGTAGCCCTTACACTGAATAGACCTCCCATAAGTGTTGTTAATGAGTAAATGGAAAGTAGTGTATTTTAAAATGTGTGAGTTTCACTTGTTCTCAGAGTAGTTTAATGTGGAATGTTACCATGATAGCATAATTCCAGGCCAGTAGGCAGCCACTTCTGACAGGTGTGTGGTTACAGTGCTGGAGCCTCTGATCTGTCATTAGCTTCGTTACACCATCCCTGTCATTAGATGGTGTGTTTGGACAAATTTTAACAAGTTTCTTAAGTGCAGACCAGCCACAGCGCTGAAACAGTAACACCTCTCTCCCCAGGGTGGGGTAGTTAAGCAAACCGCTACTTGCAGGAAAACCACACCCATTGTGAGCCTAGCAAACAGTAACAACAATGAGCAAAGTTCTGACATCACACTAGGTGTGGAAGCCAGCCGCAGCCCTAGGACTTGGACAGCTGAGGCAGGACTGCCAATGTGAGACCTTCTCTCAGACAACCAAAGCCAGACAGAAAAGTCTAGGCAAACAGTGTCAAATTAAGAACAAAACAAACCACAGGGAGGATTTTGATTGCAGCTGAGTGGCTGAGCAGTGGTTTAGCATGTGTGAGGCTTGAGTTTGATTCCCAGCACAGACCCCCCCCCCACCTCAAAACAAAAGGCACCCTGGGTCGTTACTACTGGTAAA